CAATCTAGTAAATATTTTGATAATAGCGAAAATTTTGTATGTAAAAATGATCTTAGTTCTAAAAATTGTGGTAATTATTTTGAAAATAGTAAAAATTCTGATAGTAAATTACAGAAATTGTTGAATGATTATAACCATATATTTGCAAAAAGTAAATATGATGTTGGTTGTATAAGGGTTGAACCTCCCAGAGTTATATTAACTTCTGAATTACCAATAGCCTATAGACCATATAGAGCATCTCCTAAAGATAATAGTGAAATTAAAAAACAAATAGATGAATTGTTAAAAGCTGGAATTATTAAACCTTCTTATAGTCCTTATGCTGCTCCTGTAACTTTAGCTTATAAGAGAGACGAGCAATCCAGAAGCAGATTGTGTATTGATTTCAGGAAGCTTAACCAAATTACTAAAACTGATTCTGAACCTATTCCTAGAATTGATGCTGTATTAGATCAATTAACAAATGCAAAAATCTTTTCTACATTGGATTTGGCATCAGGCTAATCAGGCTATTGGCATATTAAATTAAATGAAAAGGATACTGAAAAATTGGCATTCACTACAAATTTTGGACTGTATGAGTTTACTAGATTACCTTTTGGTTGGAAAAATTCCCCAGCTGTTTTCCAACGAGCTCTTAGACAAATTTTAAACAAATATCAGATTCAATTTGCTTTAAATTATTTTTATAGTATTCTCTCCAAATTTTGATGAACATTTAAATCATCTTAAAATAATATTTGATATATGTGAGAAAGAGAATATAAAATTAAAACAATCTAAATGTAATTTTGCTAAAGAAAAATAAATTTTCTAGGATATGAAATTCAAGCAGGTAAATACCAGCCCAGTAATGCAAATATAGAGGTTATTAAGAAATTGCAACCCCCTAAAAATATCAAAGAATTACAAAGATTTTTAGGAAGAATAATGTTTTTAGTTATTCTGATTCATATAATTTATCTTATATATATATATATATATATATATAAATAAATATATATGTATATATATATATAATTAAGTATTAATTATTAATATGTATATATTATATATATATGTTATATGTATAATAATAATTATACATATAACATATATATATATAGTATATACACATATATATATAAAAGATATGGTGTATTGGAAAAAGTCCTATTTTATGACAGAATGCCAATGTTAGAAAAACGCTACGCGTAAGTCTAATATATATCCTAAGTCGCTCTTTCGAGACATGAAAAACGCAATTAAATTTTGTCAGTAGGCTCAGTAGAACGGAAGATATAAAACTTTTTTTGTTGCAAAGTGTACATCATTTGTCGACATCGAGTGTTCCGTAACTGTCTGTCGCAATAAAAGAAAAATTATTTTTGATTACCCTCATGTAAATTCTTAAAAACTTTCTTCCAAGCGATATTCTGTGACCAGCACGCTTATCATACTCTGCAAGGTTTAATCGCTCCCTTTGGAGACATCTGAAAACCGTGAATCAGAGAAAACTCGAGATTCATAGAATTGAGATTGTCTTAGAAATCCTGTAGGATTATAGAGTCAGATTACTTTTCAATGTATTTTGGAGAAAAGTTTTAAAATGAGGTTTGCTGAATGTTGAAATTTATGTAAGAAGGAATAAATACATCAGTTTAGTAGATCGTACACAGATAATTATTTTAATATAATTTCCTGTCTGTTTTTCGAAGTGCTATTACAAGAATATATTCTTGAAGTTTTGCATAGTTGATTTCCGAGTTCGGATTCAAAATGCATACGATGGGAATTATATATTTATTTATGTATATTCGAACAATGTTATTTTTAATATAAATGAGTTTTGTCACAATGGTCAAATTCTGCCATTATGTACTATATTAGTTGTATTAATGATTTTTCAATGAGAGCTACGAATGATCCACTGAGAGTTTCCTATCTGCACAGTAACAGTTTTGATATTTATGGAAAATTCAGTTGACCATTTACTCCAAATTAAGGCAATGGACCAAGAGACGATTTCTAGCTAATAATGATAAAATCTGCCACACGTGATTCAGTTTTAGCTAATAATGATAAAACGTACCACATATCAATGTGATCTTAATAAGTGTTTCTTCCTAGCTCTCGCAGTAAAGCTGTCGCTGTTTTAAATCTCGTTTTACCTCTACGCTGTACTTAAAAAGTCCTCCACAAAGGCATCCATCCCTTAAGGCAGATAGCCCTCGAGTGCTTTGTCGTAATCTAACAAACCAAACAAAACCAAACCTCTACGCTGTAAAAGTAATTCCTGCCCACTGATTATCTATAATTAATTGCTCGGCTCTCATTGCATGCATTGATTCGCGAAAGAACGATCTATTATGATTATGTAATGAAAACTAGATATTTCAACAATTGACTTTAGGACATTGTTAATTTACTTCTGAGGTTAAAAAAAAAAAAAAAAAAAAAAAAAAAAAGTATCACGCATTTGTCAACAGTTGTTTTTAAAACGAGCGCTTTGTATTTTGCGTTTAAGTGTTACGATTTTCACCATTAAAACTTCTTCGAGTTTCGTCTTAATTTGAAAGTAAAATTAATAATAAGCATTAAATTGTAGCTGATGTGGACACCTAATGACTTCCTTGTGCGGCCTATTAAATTATACAAATCTTTTGTTGCATTTCATTTAAATTTATTTTCTCGAATTTCATTAAAGATATATTTCTCATTCAATTAATTCAGCTTTCACTTCGCGGTAAGGCAAAAATGCATAAAAGTCAAAAAATTGTAAAATACAGAAAACTATAAACACCAAATACATTTAAAAGCAATTTTTTTTAAAATTTACAATTAAAGTTTCTACCAGAAAACAAGCTATTCGGCCAAGGGGCAGAAAGACCAATTTTTCGGTGCACAAAGCTCAAAGTTTAAAGACACTGAAGTTGGTGCAAAAACTGACTTAATTTACTATTCTACTAAAAGAGCTTCAAATGTAACCAAATGGTGGATTCGTTAGGCTTAGCACCACTTAAACAACTTTTAAATTGTTGATAATTCTAGCACTATTGCATGCAGATTAACTAAATCCATGGAAATCTTAAACGGGATATAAGAACAACATTTCAATCACTTTTAAAGCAAAAAATGCACGATTTACCAACATATTTACACAACTTACACATCTAGACAATTTACCAACATAAAAAAAATATATATATATGCTTCTGGTGCGGCTGATTGCAATCAAAACAGGAGGTGCACAGCTACATGTCATAACAGTTCAAATTACAAAAATCAATGTTCTGAGGCTACTCATTTTTGACTTATGTGAGATCCATACATACGTACGTATTCCAGAGAGGTTAAAATTGATATTTTCGTTGAAATACGATACCTGAAATTATTCGCGATTACAATACTTCATTTACTTCGTACAAGGAATTAAAAAGAAAATTCTATTTTTAAAATCTAAATTAGACCAGCTTTTAATTCATAGATGATGTTTCTGCCCCCCTTATGGGCAATATATGTTATTTTTTAGTGTTGTAATAGTTTATTAAACAAATTGTAGGATCTTATGAAGAAAGCTGGCTAAATATACTATCAAAGCAGATATCTTTTTTCTTAACTTAAAAATAGACGTTCGTCTAACGTACAGGGTTTTAAACTATTTCCTTCACAATGCATCAAAACGAAAATAAGAAAAGTTAGTCAGATGTCACTTCCTTTGCATGAGAAATGATCTACAACAGACCTATATTTGTATCCTGTTGTATATATTAATGGAACAGTGCTGAAGGAAAAAACATACGATACCGGGATTTCTATGAAGGGTAAGATGGTTACTACTTGATTGTAAAAAATATACGATATATAATAAAATATATAATAATAATAATATTGTTAAAGTTTTTCTTTTGACACCAGTTGTTACGTAATTTTCTTCTCCTTTACTTTCGTACGTTACGGGGTTCGTGCAGATTGAGTGAATAATGGCAACACTACTTGATGGAGTGTCAAAACACTCTTTATTTAGCCAATATTAATCAAAACAGATCCAAAGTCACTTTTTACAGTCGTCGAAGATCTACTATACACCTCGTTGGAACAATCAGCAACGCAGCCTTCAGGGCAACAGGCTATTACGGTGGAGACAGCTTCGCTGCAAAGCGTGAGAGTACAGCTCCCGACTCTGCTCTGTTTTTGGAACTCCACGTAATCTCGAGACTCTCCAGGCTACAACTCGCGATGCACTTACGACACACAGAGCGATACAACTCACGACACACAGAGCATAGCTCCCGACTCTTCGGTTCAGTCGTTCCCGGAACTTAACACACTCACGACGATGCACTAACCGCAATACACTAAGAGACTCTTCGATGCACTCGACGACCCACTTGGCACTCGCTGGCCGGCTATCAACTCGAACGTCTCCGCATAGACTAATTAGATGAGTCACACTAACTCGTCCTCTCGACGAGGCACTTTCATTAACTGACTGCGGACCAACAGGGTTTTTATAGCTTTCGGCTTGTGTTCGAGAACATTCTACGCTAAACCGGTAAGAATTCGTTTCAGAAAATTCTCCATCCGTCCACGGAATATCGCCAATTTTGTCGCCAAATGGGCGATTTCTCGGCAAATGTGGCAACCATGCCTTCCCTTTCCATATAATGGCAACCCTAAACTTGCTTTGCGGGGAAGCTATCTTACGGCACCAGGACATTTCGTAACAATATAATAAAATATATAATAATAATATAATAATATATATAATAATAAATATATCTAAATAAGAAAAAGTATTGGAAACCCTTTCTATGAAGGTTAAGAAGGTTACTACTTGGTACTTGAAGATTCAAGTTCGTGCAGATAAAAATTATGTTTAATAGTATTACAAGTTAATCAACAATAGTTGATAATACAAGGATTTGATAAGCTCGTGAATCAAATTTGAGATAATAATAGATATGACTACGAAAACTGATGACTTGAATAGCTGGATAATTCCGTTTATTTGATAGATTTTACGAGACGAATATCTGGTCCAATCCACATATCTCAACAAATGAAGAATGTCAAAGTATTCTTTATCAGGCATCGCAGGTGTTTGCAGAAATGAACAATGGAGATCCAAGACAGTCCTTGTTTGACTTACATCATCCTTTCCTCCGTCCAAGGATACCTTATGAGATCATTTTTGTTATGGGAGGCTGGAGTGCAGGCAGCGCCACCAATATCATGGAAACACTTGACGTCAAGAGTGAAAGATGGTACCTGGCTTTGATTGCAGATTCCGTTCCAAGGTGATATGCTGTTTGAATCCTCAAATTTCGTTATTTTTCTAGGGCAACTTTTAATCAAGAAACACTCGTTTGCTCCTTTCTTAACCAAAAAGGATTCTTCTCTTTTCGCACAATAAAAACATTCCATAAGAGTAAAATCAATGATGAAACTATATTTAACTTCTCTACTAAAATTTTTATGAACATTTATTGAAAATGCTACAATTTGTTTTAAAATTAAAATCTGGTTTTTAAAAGTTATATTGAAAATGAATTAAATTTAACCTCAGGTTTACTCTCAACCTTTCGTTCATGATATTCATTGCTCATTAAAATTATTCCCGCATTTGAGAGAGTAAAGCTGAGGGACATTATCAAGAAAATGTTGACATCACTATCTTTAGAGAATTGAAAATTGGTAGTTTAATTTTAATAGCTTTAATTCGTTATTTAATTATTTCAGCTGTAGTTGAACTAATATCGATGTATTTAAAGTTGAATTATAACAAAATGAGAAGTTGTTAACATTAAGTAGATGGTTTTTCCATTTCATGGAATCTAATCTTTTTTCGCCAACGGATTGTAGAATACTGATTCGTCACAGGAAATTATTAACGTTAAAATACCAATATTGTTACTTTCTACGGGTTCGCGGATTTGGAGTAATTGATGATAACACTTGATAAAGAATCAAAACACAATTTATTCGCCAGTAAGCAGGACAGTTCAAAAGACACTTTTACACTCGTCGAAAAACTACGACAAACACGCTGAAGCACTCAGCAACACAACCTTCAGACTATAACGATTAAGACAGCTTCATTGTAAAGCTCTGAAGTACAGCTTCCGACTCGGTCGATCGCTTTCAAGCTAATCTCTGAAATTAAAGACGCTACACTCCCCGTACAGGTAGGGTATATATAGCTTTAACCTATCTTCTAGAATATTCTATATAATAATATAGATAAAAATATGTAAATCAGCATTATAATTTAATTTAGCCATAACCTATTAATTCCTCGTTTTTAATTCGGATATTTCTTCTCTGTATTATAAAAATAGAAATAACTTTTCTGGACTGCGTCATTTCTAGATCAATCAATCTCACGTGGCTTGCATACTCTGATGACGTAGCTAATTCGGAGCCTGAGCTCAAAAATTCGAGAACTGCAACTTTTATAGTAACAGGCTGCCATATTGGATAACAGCGCACTTTAGCTTCTACCTCTCTTCCTAAGACGCTATTTCGCTCAGTCCTCTTCCTATCTCAAAATTATCAAAAATTTAAATGTTCCTGAATAGGCACAATTGGAGTGCCAACATAGAAATTGTGGCTGCAAATGTGAACTGAAATAAAGTTGAATATTTTATCCATCTTGACTGACATGTTTGCTGTTCATTACGGATTAAATATTCTATGTTCTATGCCATCAAAATAAAAAAAAGTAATAAAAATTTATCATTTATATAATTAAAAATTTATGAAATGAAAGTTAAATAATTTTCATTTTACCCTTTTGATTCTTATTTAATCAATTTTTAACTTTTACTTTCTTCATTTTCCTTTTACGACTTTGTTGATTGGAATTTATGTTGTCTTCAAATTGTAATTTTTAGTTTTCTTAATTGCCATTCTTAATTCTTAATTTATTAGAATTTTATATAGGAGTATTTCCATTTCATTCGTTTGATAATATATATAAAGAAAGAAACAAAAATTTATCGAATATATATATATATATAGGTCAAGATGAGTATTCAACTAATCAGTAAGAAGATCCGAATTACACCCAGCTTTGTTTCCGAAATACATTATCATAGTAAGGTACAAAACAATATTTAATACTAAAACAAAAAGTGAACCTAAATTGAGTTAAGTACTAAAAAGTAGACAAACAAAAAAGGTAAACAAGAAAACAAAAATGCATATGTTAATGTCTTTTGTTTGAGGTTTCACAACAGAGCTTGTCAAGGGAAAATTTTTTGAAACTTCATACAAAGTTGATTAACTAGACCAGCTAAAACAAGTTTCGTTCCCATATATATATATATACTAGAAAGCCTAGCGGTCATACGAAATGACCGCTGTTCTAGATATTATAAATTGTAATCAAAATGATTTGTGCAAAGGTGTCTGCTAATTTAAACTGAATTACCCAAGGCAGGCGGCGAGGACGCCCCTTTACTTACTGCCCCACGGGGTTTCTCCCTTCTATTTGCTTAATTGCTTAAAGTAGAGTGCAATCAAGGAAACCACTGGCGATATATTTCTTAAGAGCCACCGTTAGCTCAGTCAACAAAGTTTAAATAATGAAATGTTATTTCACATGTCACAAATTTTTTTGTACACAACATTTCTTGTGTAGATCTTTGCATCATTTTTAAGTTCGCCTTGCAGAGGACCATCCATTATTTTTAATTTTACGTCCGTTCTTTCACGAACTCTTGAACAGGCAATATAAAGTTGACCGTGTCCAAATGCAGGCTCAGGTAAAAAAATGCCAACACGCTTAAGCATTTGGCCCTGAGACTTATGGATGGTCATAGCAAAGGCAAATTTTACAGGAAACTGTCTAACGTCTCAATTGAAACGGCAACCCTGTGCCGTGGCAACTTCATCCCGTTGGCTATTACAGTTACGCAAGCAATCAATAAACAATCGGCGACAAACACACACTTAAGCCGCATATTTATATATGGAGTGAAGTAACATCATCTCCTCTGAAACAGCTGGCTTCCGGGCTTAGCAAAGCCCACTGTTGGATTCCGCAGGTCCGTGTCACTCCATTTTGACCATTCGCGTCTTCTTGGGACTTTAATTAGCCGGGATATTAATTAAAAACTAATTTTTCCCAACGTTTTCCCCACATATTCCACTTTCTTTCTTGGGTTTTCCCTATTAGAGGGATTTGGCTACGTGCAAACTTCTTTTTTCCCGAATATCTACGGAACGGCGCCGAGGTGAAATTCGAGACGCGTATCCTCGGATTCCTAAAAATTCTCCGAATACATCGATACCGTTCTCATCTTCTTACGACTTTAATCGGCCGAGATATTAATTAATCATTACTTTAATCGGCCGAGAATCAATAAACTATCGGCGACAAACATACACTTAAGCCGCATATTTATATATGGAGTGAAGTAACATCATCTCCTCTGAAACAGCTGGCTCCCGGGCTTAGCAAAGCCCACCGTTGGATTCCGCAGGTCCGTGTCACGCCATTTTGACCATTCGCGTCTTCTTGGGACTTTAATTAGCCCGGGATATTAATTAAAAACTAATTTCCCCCAACGTTTTCCCCACATTATTCCACTTTCTTTCATGGGTTTTCCCTATTACAGGGATTTGGCGACGTGCCAAATTTTTTCTCGAATATCTACGGAACATTCATTTTTCTCGAATATCATTCTTTTTTCTCGAATATCTACGGAACGGCGCCGAGGTGAAATTCGAGACGCGTATCCTCGGATTCCGAAAAATTCTCCGAATACATCGATACCGTTCTGATCTTCGTACGACTTTAATCGGCCGAGATATTAATTAAAAACTGCAGAAACGTTTATTTCCGCGCTCGTTTTGCCGAATGGCAACAATAAACTATCGGCGACACACACTTTAGCCGCTTATATATATAAAGATATATATATAAAGAAAAATTAAACCTTTGAAATGATAATCAGCTGACTGATACAACTGTCGAAAATATTCTAACATAAACTTAAGCGAAAGTTTTTATAAAATCTCTAAGTTCTAGCGTTGTTTTGCGGCATGTCATCGCTAAATCTTTGTTACAATTCTAAAATTCTATAATCATTGCCCTTTACCCACAGAAAATACTAATTAATTTCTTCTTTTTTAGGGCATATCATGGTATGCTTTGGCATCAAAGTAAAATATATGTTATTGGGGGCTTTGATGGCAATCAGTGCTTCAACAGTGTTCGTCGTTTTGATCCAGTGACTCACATCTGGGAGGAGCGCGGCTGCATGCATGTACAAAGGTGTTATGTGAGTGTTGCCAAAGTCGACGATTATATCTACGCGATGGGAGGTTACGATGGCCATCGTCGTAATAAATCCTGCGAAAGATACAATCCGGAGAGCAATCAGTGGTCTTACATCAGCAACATGAATCATATAAGGAGCGATGCCAGTGCAGATTCTCTTGACGGTAGGGAGCTACTATGATTTACGAACCAGAACCTCAATAATATTCAAAGAGTAAAGTCGTGAAACAGTTTTCATCAGAAATTTATGGTTTACAATGCCTTAGTCAGTTGCAGTATCATTTAATTACGAGAATTTTTAAATGCCCTTCTGTGTGTACACTCAAATGAGTGGTTAGAGAGGAATATATCAAATTTTGAATCGATAAACTACTTAACTTGATTTGTTTCCTTAAATTATTTGAATTCGGATAAAAATTTTTTTAGACATTCCCGGTTAAAAAGAACACCAGAAATTCAACATTTTAGGCTCGTTTGAGAAATATTTTGAAATTTGTTATCTACATATAAATCCTGCGAAAAATACAATCCGGAGAGCAATCAGTGGTCTTACATCATCAACATGAATCATATAAGGAGCGATGCCAGTGCAGATTCTCTTGACGGTAGGGAGCTACTATTATTTACGAACCAGAATCTCAATAATATTCAAAGAGTAAAGTCGTGAAACAGTTTTCATCAGAAATTTATGGTTTGCAATGCCTTAGTCAGGCAGTATCATTTAATTACGAGAATTTTTAAATGCCCTTCTGTGTGTACACTCAAATGAGTGTTTAGAGAGGAATATATCAAATTTTGATTCGATAAACTAATTAACTTGATTTGTTTCCTTAAATTATATGAATTGATATAACGATTTTTTGTAGACATTCCCGGTTAAAAAGAACACCAGATATTCAACATTTTAGGCTCGTTTGAGAAATGTTTTGAAATTTGTTACCTATATATATTCTGAGTAAAACATTTTAAGGGAGAATAACTAAAATATATTTCTGCTTTTTAAACCTTTCATTTAATGAAAGACTAAAATAAAGTGGTTGTAAGAGCACCTGTATCTCTTTTCTTGATAAAGAGTTAAACTGATAGTTGAAATTTAATACAAAGATATTTATGTCGTATACATGTCCGGCAAAATACAGCTTTATTAACCATTCTTCTAGTTTTATCTCAGCTTTAATTTGAAACTAGAACTCCAGTTTAGAAACTGCCTAATTTGAAACTCTAATTAAAACTAATTTAACATTAAACTTTTAAACAATTTTAATTGAAAACTAGAATTAGAGCTGAGAAAAATACTAAAAGGGAAAGATGGCTGCCTCCTTTTTTCTTTCTTTCAGAAACTAACTTCTCAGAAGTCGATTAATAATTTAATAACTCAGAATAAAAATTATCGAGTGCTTTTCTTAGTAAGAAATGGAAGTATGTAATATAGCATAAGATAACAAACGTAAGAAACATAAGAAATATTTTTATCAGAAATATTTTTGCTGCTTTATTTCAAATGATTCTGATATTTCCAATGATCCTAAGGAGTGAGATGACTTCGTGGAGGATTTCTAATGGAAATTGGCTCGTATTTATATTACGCGTGGGAAAAAAGCCATAAAAACTTCTATGCAATCAGCGCATACACTGAGGACCAATACTGGATTTATGATTCTGTTTATCTGTTTTTGATCGCAGGATTCCAAATTTTTATTTACATTTTTTTCCTTACAGTACAAAACTGCGGGAAGACCTATATAAAATTTTTAACTCATTAGCTGAAACAGATTATTAGTTTCATCCGTTACAATGATTTATCATTTAACGCCTTATACAAACTTCCCTTTTATAGAAATTTATTGTTATTGTCGTTGTGACTAATCTTGCTTGTCTGATATCAGAGGAAGCCTATGAAATTCATCGTGGCAGGGAGGCAAAATTTCGCCTGTCGTTGGCAAGAGCCTTTGGCTCCATACAGGTGACAGTTCCGCTCTCCCAGTCTTGAAGGAGAGCAACATGGAGGGACAAGTCAGAGGGTCTACCATCCTTCTTCCCTTACCATGAAACTCTCGAGAGGACTTTTGGCTCCCCGCGTATTTAGAGCGCCCTCATGCCGCACAAACACTACAACATACGTGCGATCTCTGGGATTCGAAACCGGGCCCTTCAGTTAGCATAGCTAACTGCTTTCGCGGTTGACCAAGGGCGAGGTTGCCTCACCCTTGTCCCGGCTGTGACTAACATATTAGTTTAATTTATGATATTAAAAATTATGTTGTTCCTTACATTTGTACGTGAAGCAAGTGTCTCATTTGCCTAGCCCTTGGAATAGTTTTGCTGAAGATAATAATCAAAGTAGCATTTTTTAGAATTTGCAATGCATTAAACTTCCTTTTATCTTTTCTGCCAGGTAAAATATACATAGCTGGTGGCTTTAACGGTTCTCAAGTCCTGGAAAGTGCAGAATGCTACGATCCGGAGACGGACGAATGGACATTGATCACTACTATGAATTCGCCTCGGAGTGGAGTTAAATTGGTTGCCTACTGCGATGTTTTGTATGTCATTGGAGGATTCAACGGAAATAACCGACTGGCTACTGGTACGTTGCGAAAGGTGAAATAAAGTATTTAGTCACAAGTAAATCAAGAATAATATTTTCGATTCTTGCGAAATTTAAATTTAATACTGCCTACAAACTAAGTCTGTGTTGGATTATGTAAACAGATAAATATTATTCAAACGTTTATTGGTAAGTCAAAAAATTTCATAAATTCAATTTTAATATCATTTTTCTTCGTTTGCCCTGGGGAGATGAATATGTATTTCATAACGATTTCTTCCATTTCAAAGATGCTTCATATTGTATCTTCTCCAGTCAAAAACCTTCCAGAAAGTTTCAAATCTTCCGCCTAATAAGTGCAGCAGGTGAAGGTAGAAGCTAGGCCATCGGCTCTCGAATACGATAGGGGATCGAGATATCACTGCACCTTGCTGACTATTAAATTTCCGCCTTAATTTGGAAGTCTGGAGAGAAAATACACAGGGAGCGGTCCGAGTGTCTCCCACCCCTCTTTCTCGACCACCAACCTCTATATATGTTTTTTGTTCATCGTGTATTTTGAGAGCCCCCTTGCAGCACAGACACTTTGCCAAAGAAAAATCCATACGTTCTCTGGGGTTCGAACCCGGGATCTTTTGTACGGCACTAGTCCGTCAGGGCGGTTAATAAGCGAAATACGTTCGATTTCGATAACATCTACGTTAAAAAAAGTAAAGATTTTCAAGCGAATCTCAGTTAATATATTCTACTTTAGTGGACACTTTCCATTAATGGACATTCAGTGAACATTTCCGATAGCGAGCAAAAGCTTTGTTCTGGTAACAGGAGGCTCGACTGTGCTAATTTCTCTTGTCATAATAAGCAGTAGTAGCCGTGAAGTGATTGATCGTTTAAATTTTCTACTGCGGAATAAAGAAGTTAAAATATACGCTATATTTCCATGAATATTCATGCAGCTTTCAGAAACTGTTCTTCAGCTTTTGCTGCACAGTATATTTTTTCTGACAATCTGACATTAATTTTTAACACATTACACACTGGCATGTCAAAAATCATGGGATTCTTCTTATGTGAAGCCTCTAGTTTAGCGAAGTGCAGCAACTCGACAGGGCATAATTGTTAGAATACAAGTTAATTAATCGGTGGATGTCCCTAAGACAGATGATCAACTATGCTGCTCCAAAACAGTCCATAGCTTATAGTAGTAGGTGTAAGATGTGGTTGTAGTAGGTGTTGGATCTTGTGAATGTATCCCACTCAAATGGGATCATGTTTGACTGTATAGATGGCTAAGTCATATTGTTTAAACGGCTAACCATAAAGATAAAAAAAAAAAAAAAATAAAATCTGAAATGTTTCAGATTTTAAATTACGTCCAAAGGGGCGTTTTTTAACATTTTGTGTGTTACCTTTCTTTATTAAATATCATGTTCCTCGCACTTAAACCATAAGATCCAGTGCAACAGCAATATCGCAAAATAGTTTTAAAACGAGCATATCTTTAGAATTTCCGATACAGAGACTCACGCGCTGGAGATAAAAATGTTTTTTCTGCACAACGTTGCCATTGCTCGCTTTGAAATCCTTGAGTTTGTTAATCAAAAAAGTTTTAAAAAATAGGAAATCGATCATAAAACAAATTTCAAATTTCAAATTTGGTCTTCCACATGCTCATATTCGTTGGAGGATTACGTTATTCAAAATTCGATGACTCTATGTACCGTTATTTTATGACAATGTGAGAAATATACATACATTTACGCAGATTTTCATTATTTAATTTCTTCAAATATAAAGCAGGACTCTAACATTTTTTGGCAATAGTTTGAAAAGTGAACCGACATTTATCCGTCCGACGCAAAATGCCAAAACGAAACTAATAGTCCTTCGGGATTCAAATCCCTTTGGACTAATAATAAATCAAACCTTCTTATTAAGAAATGACTTACTAACAATAAAGATTTGAAAATGGTTCTACCAAGTAGTTAAATATAGTGATTTCCTGTCAAGGACAACGAATAAAGAACCTCATCCATGCCAGGTAAACACAACTTTCACCGATATGAAGCTATTTTTGAAGTTTCCTGAGGGTCTTTTGACAGTTTGCATTTATAGAATTTGCATCTTACTCGGTCCACTGTACCTTTTTGAAAGACTACTAAGACTAAATTAACCCCTTCCAAACGTCTAGAGTCCAATGTATATATTTACGAGCCCAATTAAAGGTTAGAAACCATGCTAAACTAAGACTAAAGGCACGTGATTACGTTTTCTATTGTTACATCCCATCACTGCCAGATTTCTGCACGATCATCAGAGACATGTCTCTGGTACGTCCCTTATGACTGTGGCAATCATTTCACGCAGTATCATTCGTCTGTTATCACAAATGCTCCTTCTTAAATGTTACAAATCTCGAACTCCCAGTAGATGCTCCTTGTGGAAGGTAATGTCTTTCATGAGATACTCTTCGGTACATTCTGACACTGTGGAGCAAAAAATCTCAAAAAGTAAAACTTTCCGAAATATTACGAGCCATGCAAGGATCTCCAATTATCAGTGCGTATTCTCTATTCTCGGCTAATTCTTGTCTGATAGCCATCATCACTTTGTTAAACCATTTACAAAACAATTAAGAGTCCAACAGATGACACTAACAGCCATCATATTCTTCATATGATTTTAACGCGATACTAGTGCCATTTGTAAATTTGCATGCATGACTCTGGGCCTTTTTTGCACCACACAATTAATGATTCCTTTTCTTTCTCGTATAGATTCAATTAGAACGTTTTTCTTTAAATGCATTGAAAGTAAATAAAGTGGTCCACTTTTCGGTAGGATTTTAAATGAGTTGCCGTTTAATCTGCCTTGCTTGAACAAAATATTACTAACTTGAAAATTATGTAAATATGCCCATATATAATAATTATATGTGCGTATTTACACATATATAACACACCAAAATACCAAAATCAGTTTAGAAATCAGATTATTTATTATCTATAATATAGATTTTGAGCATTGTTTGTAGAATCTCTGAGGCTTTTCGAAGCAAGAACTAAGAAAAATCAGCTGCGCCCTTGCCTGCATTCGAACTCTAAAACATCTGATTACTATCAGGATATGCTACTGAGCATATCACGCCAGCATGCAGAAGGGCAGACAAAAATTCTCTATAAGTTTGTTTTTAATTTTGAATTATTATTAACCATATGGTATACTAAATTTATTAGTTTAAAATTTTTATTTTTTTTTTTTTTTTTTTTTTTTTTTTTTTTTTTACAAATTGAAAAATTCTCAGCTCTGGTAGTTGCAATTATTTTAAAACAATTCGTTGCTTTTATTTCGAATTGAAGATTCACAACATCTGTAGACGAACTTACAGTTTGAATTATATAGAAACTTGGAATATTTTTAAATTAATGTTAATTCTGAAGAAAAAATAAAAAGGAATTAAAATTTTTCCTAGATCTTTCAAAGTTAGAACTGAAAAAGAAGATTCAATAACTGTAACATTTTGGAAAATTTCGCCATAGTTAAAAGTATAATTAAAAGTTCCCAAAGTTTATGTTGGCGTTCGGTACGAGGCATCTGAATGTTCATGCGTCGCTTCCTTCTGCAGGTATATGCTTAGAGGGTTAAGAATAGTAAAGTGCATTTATATTCTGCATCAAAAGCTTCTCGAGTTCATTAAACCTGTTTTCTCTCTTTTATACTTCAAACCTTTGAAGATACTGTTGCTTTTTTTTTTTTAACTGACACCAGTTGTTACGTTATTTTTTTCCTTCATGTTTTTACGGCGTTTGTGTGGATTTGGAGTGAATAACGCTTTCATCAAGTGACACTTGATGAAGTATTGAAACAGACTTTATTTAGCCACTATTAATCAGAACAGCTCCAAAGTCGCTTTTTACAGTCGTCGAAGATTTACTATAAACACGCTGGGGCAATCAGCGACACAGCCTTCACACTGTCAGGCAAAAACGGTGGAGATAGCTTCACTGCAAAGCACCAGAGTACAGCTCCCAGCTCTGCTCGGTTGTTCTCGGAACTCCACGTACTCTCGAGATTCTCCACGCTACAACTCGCGATGCACTCGACGACACACAGAGCACAGCTCCCGACTCTTCGCTTCAGTCGTTCCCGGAGCATAACACACTCTATCGACGATGCACTAACCGCGATACACTAAGAGACTCTTCGATGCTCTCGACGACCCACTAGGCACTCGCTGCCCGGCTGTCAACTCGATCGACTCTGCGCGGACTGACTAACTCGAGACTAACTATCTCGCACTCTAGACGAGGCACTCTCTAACTACAAACCAGCAGGGTTTATGTAGCTTTCGGCTTTTGTTCGAGAAAATTCTGGGCTAAACCGGTAAAAATTCGTTCCTGAAGGTTCTCCATCCGTCCGTGGCATATCGCCAATTTCATCGCCAAATGGACGATTTCTTTCCAAATGTGGCAATTTTAGCCTCCTTGCTATTTTATGGCAACCCTAAAACTGCTTTGCAGGGAAGCCATCTTACCGCGCATGTACATTTCGTAACAAATCTTTTCTACTATAATAAAAGAAAGAGTCTCTGTGTGTGTGTGTGTGTGTCTTTCGTTCGCGCTGCGTGTAAGCTAATAGACCCACAGCTACGAAATTTAGTACATAGGTGCATCTAGACAAGAGCCAGTGCACCTCGAAGCAATTTTTTTCGAAATTCGAATTATAATTTTTTTAATTTTATGTATTGAGACGAAATCGTGTCATTTTAAGACATAATGGGCTAGAGGAAAGCGAGATTTTACTCTACACACTCTATTTTTACATCGTCATGAAATGTAGGCACTTAGCTATTTTACGAACTTAAAATAAATTTCGTGTTTCAATAAATCGATTAAATACGAATTTATTTAACAAAGGGAGCTTAACACCTTTTCAAAGGGATTTTTTTTTAAATTTATTTTTAAAAATGTACAGTTTATTTTTCTTTGATTTTTGGACACGTTAAACTTTCATCCTTGCGACTGTTTTTACAAAAAGAATTTTGGAAAAATGATAATATTTTGTATTTAAAAAAAATTTAAATGAAGCCTCCGAGTACACTTCTCACATCTTTAAAAATGTGATTTTAGAAACAATTTTCCTTTCTTGTTGATAGATTTTTGATGAAATCGCATCATTTTGAATAGTTTCATTCTTCTAGAAATATGGGTTTGGCAACAATTTTTCATTGTATTTCTTATGTCACTGTTTTTAAGAGATTGGCATATTTCATTGTCGTTTTTTACTTCCTTGTACGAAGTAAAAAGGAAGTATTGTAATCGAGAAAAGTTTCAGGCAACATATTTCAACGAAAATATCCATTTTGACCGCTATCGAATGCAATTTAACGATGTTTTTGCGTAATATCTGTACGTAAGGACAGAATAAAATACTCTTTTCCGCCCAAACAAATTATAAAACTGCTTTAAAATGAATTCTGAAGAGAATTTTTCGTGACGTCTCTACGAACGTATGTGCGTACGTACGTATCTCGCATAACTCAAAAACGAGCAGCCGCAGAACGTTGAAATTTTGTATATAGGACTGCTAATACATGTAGATGTGCACCTCGTATTTTGGTTGCAATCGGCGGCACCAAACGTATATAAATATATTTATATACGTTTTATTTATATACGTTTTTATTCAGATTTTATTCTCCTCTCCGGGCAATCACTTGGCGGTTACTGAGCAATCACCTTGAAATTCACGTGAGGAGTACTGTTGCCATATCAGTGATCATGATGGGAGGTTCAAATTTTAAATATCGTAACGTCTTAGACTATTATACGCATTTAGCTCAAGTGCAAAGGTACTTTCTGACCACACTTTCAGAGTAAGCATAGATTCGTTTTGCATAGATTCGTTTCAGAGTTTCGTTCATAGCATAGATTCGCATAGATAGCATAGATTCGATCAGCATAGATTCGTTTCAGAGTAAGCATAGATTCGTAAGTAGAAAGTTTGAATCTGTTTGCGGTACTAGGCCAGTCTTGGTGATTGGCTATCGCCTAATACTTGACTAGGCATAGATAAAAGCATCTGTTAACCATAGGTTAAATTGTTTGAATTTACAGGTGATAGGTGACAGGTGAGAGCAAAGTCCGGACGCATATAAGCATTCTGTACCACGTGACGCACATAGGGAAAAATCCCTCCTCGTGATTGGCTATGGCTCCCGGTGACATCATTTCCTCTACGCTCAAGAATGCCTTGACTTTGCTTGAACTCGAGGGTATACCTCTATACGTTTGTTTAAATTTTGATAGCATACCAAAAAGATTATTACGTGCTTTACATTTTTGTTACTGTGAAATTACACTTCTTAGAATACCTTGGTATGGCGAATTTAATATAAAAAAAGTAGTGATTTTTTTTTAGAGAGAAAAGTGTTATTTCTCCTTGCGCTAACTTGGTAAATGTGTATTAAGTAAATAGATTTTTAATAATTGGATTCTTAATTTAAGACGTTTCATAGTTAAGCTGTTGTTAGCATTACTTCATGTACATTATATAACCATTTTCTGCAGATGCAATCTCCGAAAACAATCTCTCCGATGATTCAAGTCAGTTTTCGGAAGTAGCAAAAACGACGTTGGGAGCTAAAATAGTACAAGTAAATTCACAATATTTATAATCAGTCTGAAAAGTAAAAGTTATTTTTGAAGTTAGACTAATATAGATTTGGAACAGAGAAATAGAGATACGTATTTAAAACTTAAAAATATTACTTAAAAATATTGCCCATTTTTTTAATGTGTAACATCTTTTGTACTTTCGCATAAAATTAGTTTTTATCAGAGAAGGAAGTTTATTTTTTTATACACATAAATTAAATTCAACGACAATATTGAATGCGCTTTTTCATTTAAGGCAACAGAATTTTAGAAATGACATGGAAGTTAAAGAAGGAAATAACATAAAATTTGCAGAGGAAATATTTTCTGCAATGTGAAAGGAACAGAATGCAACAAAATTGCTATAATGACAATATATTTACTGGCACACAATGCTTTTATAATTGGGCTAAGATAATCGCGTTTTGGTTTTTGCACTAAATTCATGAACTTGCATTATTTATATAATCTAAGCGTTTAAAACTGCTTCTTATATTAACAGCGCCGAAAGATTTTACAAGTATAATGTTATTATTTCATGAAACAAGAAGCCATCTGCAGAACGCTGCGGTTGAATGTTTTCGTTTCAAAGAAAATAAACGATAATTTTCAGACTTCCGTATCACTCATGCGCGTCATTCAACGAAAACAAAACCGTATGAATCCCTCCTAAACGGCATTACGTCAAGAGAAAATGATATCATGGGAAAGTATGTCCAATCACAAGTACGGAATTTTCACTATGCGCGTGGCGCGGTGCAGACTGCTTATATGCGGTCCGGACACCCGGGCGGCTTTCACTGAACTACGCTTGAATGTCCTCCTACTCATCCGCTTTAGCGCTGCGGTGCCACACCCTGGACTGAACACTGGTAGTTCGGTTTGAGGTTCGAATCCCGCGAACGGGCTGGCTGCATGGGCGTTTTCGTGGTTTTCCCCATGTGTAACGTGTATACGAGCCAGTTTGCCCTTAGAAAGTCCCTCCACGAAAGGCATCCCTCCCCTTAGGCAGATAGCCCTAGTGTGCTTTGCCATAATTAAATACACCACACCACCACCGCCACAACCTGGATGTCGGCTATCGTCTGGATCCTGCAACTGTCCAGAAAAACAACATTGCCAAATGGGCTGATGCTGAAAGACAAATGAAATGCGGATTCTAAGAATACCAATGCTTATTATACAGTATAGAGATACTTTACATAAAAAAATATAGAGATACTTTACATAAAAAAATATGTGTTACTATGTTGAATTTCGACAGTAGTAAGTAATACATCATTATACATCAATAGTGCACTCGATATATTAATGCATACAATAATAAAATTTTCTAAGACATCCTGCAGAGCAGTACCAGTGCACATTATGCAACTTATAACTATATGCATTATGCATTAATAATACATCCATACATATATTACATTAAGACATACAAAACATAAAAGGTGCACTCAATATATTAACCCTCTGAGCGCCATGGCCGGCTTTTACATGAAAGCATGCATTACATTAATGTATACATAACATAAAAAGTGCATTACCCTATTCGGTTACATCGGAAACTTATATATTAACATTACATTAACTTGTTATAAAGATATTAATACGTACGTAAGAGTTAGGTCTCCTATGGTTAGATGGGACCGTGTTGTGCACTGCAGAGTTCAGTGCTTAACGCTTCCAGTTTTAGCATCATTAGATGTATTTTCCTTTGTATTGAAGGTTGCTAGATCATAAATCTTTTATAAGCGGCGGTATTTGTAGCAAGTTCATTGACAGCAATTTCAAGGTGTCTGGTATTTAAGCCACATGCAGATGATAGCAGTCTTGTGCAGTATGTTCTGATTTAACCCTCCGAAATGTTGAGGTAGAATAAATTTTAAATTATTACATTTCTGTGTTTATTTGTTTTAGAGTTGGAATTCTTGGAGTAAAAACTAACTCCTAGAATACATGTTATACCTATCGTTCAATGTAATTAAATTATTTGAATTTAATTGAACCGAAGGGAACTATTAACAATAGTTGCATTATCCAATCCAGGTCCCTAGAGACACACTTAGCAGCATTTTCTAAATGATACATGCTAAGACTTGCAAATCAATATTTTCACAGAAAATCATCATGGAAAAAGACGTCTTGATCCATCATCTGTCTAGTTGGTGGTGTTTCTCGTACCCTAGTAATCATAAAAAAAAGGGAAAGAGTGAGAAGAAACATGAGAAGTCTATCTTCAAAAATAGTTCATGGCACATTTCGAAAAACTAATTCGAGAAAATACTTAAAATCACCTATGTCACATTATACATCACTGTTTATAGACAATCCTGTGAACATCAGATTAGATATATTAAAACAGGAAACATCAAAGTATTCTAATATATTTAATAATTGATATTTCATACTGAATGTTATGTACTCATTTGAAATTGGCAGTTAAAGCATAAAAATGAATTGAGAAATCAACATGATGAATATTTAACCCAAAGGATCTATCTGACTGAGAGCAATATTCTTCCTTATTCTTTTTTAAATAAAAATGGAAAAAACGCATTTAAGTTTTCGTTTTTGAAATTAAACATTAATTTCTTGCTATTAGAAACCGATTAATTAATGAACAAGGCGATAATCACAACTTTAAACTCATCAGACCTCGAATGCTTTGTTCGATAATAACATGCCGAAACAGGAAAACTGATTTCTCATTCCATGTGGCATTAATTTTTGGGTCCCAAAGAATATTTTTTAGTGCTTTATCCGTAATACTCGTATGAAAAGCCACGTTTCTAATAGCCCACTAATAATTTTCTGTGTAAATTTTCAGTTGAGAAATACGATCTTCGGGCTAAAATGTGGTTTCCCGTGGCATCCATGAATGGGCCGAGAAGTAATTTTGCTACTGCTGTTATCAATGGTCATCTCTATGTCATCGGTGGTTTCAATGGTAAGTTCCAACTCTTATTTAGCAATTGCTTACTTCCAAAACTTCTGTTAAAAAGACAGATGACAGATGACAGAAATTCATTACATTTTAACTGTTGCCTCTCCAGATTAAATATCCTTTCTATATGTGGATGTTTTTAAAATAAAGAACTGTACTTTCTTTACTTCCTAATCTTGCATTAAGTGTAAGGCATTGATTCTCCTAATCTTACTTACCAAACTGAAAAGTAAAGTACAGCCAAACAATGAATAAATATCGCAAAAATCTAAGAATAGCTAATCTAAGAATAGCTGTGTCATTTCTGGCACAAAAATATGTCAATCATTGACCTCCTCGCTGTAAGATTAATCATTTAATCTTTAACAGAGGCTGTTCACATATTTTTTAGACGATCGACTGCTTGGAATTTTTTTAACTGCAACCGTATTTTTGAAAATGAAATTATCGTCTACTAGTTGACAATTTTGCTTTCATGCAAAGGCTCTTTTAAAGAAGCAGTAGACGGAAGGCTATGTTTGTACTCTTCCCAAAGAATGTTACTCATATTCCGGTATTAAAAGATGCCATGATTTTCTGGTATCTAAATCAATAATAGATAATATTGTTAATAAAAAAGGGGAAAAAAAGTCAAAGCTGGGCTTCAAGGAAAAACATTATTCAAAATACATGTCCAAGAAAAAAACGGAATGTTCCGAATGTTGTAAGAGAAGAACTTTAATGTTATAAAAAATCGAAGTCAAAGGACAGTTGCATAATCATTAAAGTGCGCAGCGTTAACTGTAAATAAAGTGATTAACGCTGATTTGAATCTCGAAACATAACGTGCATCTTTTTTTCCGCAACATATTACCGAAGGCAGAACGAGCTGCAGAGGAAGTAAAGAAAATTATTTAGAAAATTATAAAAATTATAGAAAAAAGAAAATTATAAAGAAACAATTATTTAGACAAAAATGGAAAAACGTTGTCAAGTTAGAGGAACCTTGGGTATATTTAAGTGACCACAATATAAAGAGATCCATTTATTATGATCAAAAATAAGAAAAAATAATCTTAGAAGGTTCAAAGAATCTAAAGTAAAGTTTTGAAAGAGATTTATAATTGTTATGGTTTTTCATATAACGTCTAATTAAAAAGCAAGAGAGTGGAGAAGAATATTGAGATTAACTTCACATAGTATTAGAAATATATTTTACAGCCATATTTCAAATATGAAAGAACTTTTGTTTATCCACAGTGCTATCAATATGTAGAACTGCATCAAGACAAAGCAAGTAGCCGCACGTCAAAACTCAACTGTTAATTTTCTGGAAAAAGTGGAACAAGAGACGTGTATGTCTATCCGTGTATTATATCTTTCACTCATATCTCTACTAAATCTGATATATCATCGATGGATTTTTGCGGTTTTGGATTTTGAAAAAGCGAATTGTACGGACGTCTACCTACAACCCTCAATGGGCTTTGAAATTCTGTTCAAGAGAAATGGAATAAAATACCTGTTCCGTCACTAAAATTTATTATTATGGTGTCGTAAGATAGTAAAGAAGAAGCGTTATTAAATGGAACATTTGAAACGCAGAAATAGAAGTAAAATAACTCTGTAACTACAATGAAAATCATCTAAAAAATATGCTAACAGCCTTAGTAAATAGTCAAACAGCTGCATCGGCAGCATCTTTAACAAGGTGTCACATGCAAAGTAAGTGCTATAACCATGAAAGCCTTCAGTTCATATATTGTAATCATTTTTAATAGTTTTGCTGCGTTGAATGCATTAAACATGAAATCATTTATTTTTTCAGTTAATAATATGCTGTGTCTGGAAATGACTGCACGTAACATTTTAAGAGAACTGCTCTGTGTCTGGAATGACTCACGTAACATTTTAAGGACTCTCAATAATCTACAGCATAATGTGCTGTGTCTGAATGAATGCATGCACGCTGTCTGAAATTTTAAGAGAACTGCTCTGTAAGGCTATACAGCTCAGCGCTCTAAAGTTAAGATTGTAACTACAAATGTATTGCTTTTATATGAATAGCAAGCGGGAAGTTATATAGAACCTCCCATTAGCGGATACTTAAACCAAGACTTTTGTCAGTAACAGAAAGTGTCCGCTTTATCTGAAAGTTTAGAACATTATCGTTCAAGTAAAATACCTTGACTGTATGTGTAAGTAGAAGATATGTACACAATATGAAAAATTTTGCTATTTATAGACAAAAAGCATGCCACATTTTGTGATCATATGCCTTTCTTCTTTTGTTTGGCATGATTTTCTCGTGACCTTAAAGATAAAAAAAATGAACGTATATTTTCTAAGGTATGTTTCAGAATTTTTGACCAGAAGACAATTTTTAAGAAAAAAGAAAACTCTTAGTCTATTTCCATTGTATGCAAATAAAATAAAGGATTAATCAAATTTAAAGATTTCGGAAAATGTAGCTTTCGGTTTTAAAAATAATGTGTTTTCTTCTTCAGGAAAAAATGTCCTGGAAAATCCTTTTGTCACAGTTACGCAAAATTGCATTCCAAAAACACTAGACACCTTAAAAATACACACTTTTGGCTTCTACATGCAGTTTTCTCTTGCAGTTAGTTCAAGTGCCTCTGAGTTCATTCTATCAGTAAACGCGATGGAATCTGAAATTGCGTAGCTAATAAACAGCTATTTGGGCACAGCCTTTGTAACACTGTGTTGATTGTCAAATTTGCCGAATCATATATTAACCTTTATCTAAAGTACATAGCCATTCATATAAAGTTGTCTCATTTATACGTAAATTTGGTAAAATAGAAAGTAAGAACTGTATTCAATGATAGAAAAAGGTTATACTGGAAACTCCAAATGTTCGATCTCACATTGTTGTCACGATCTTAGGAAAGAATAGAACATTAAATCAAAATGTGATTTCGATAAAAATTTAGTGATAGCTTGAGATGTCCATTTCATCTGATTTCGATAAAAATTTAATGATAGCTTGAGATGTCTATTTCATGAGATTTCGATAAAAATTTAATGATAGCTTGAGATGTCTGTTTCAGGGGGATTAATTAAATAGGAAACTGAACTTACCAAAAAGGACAAAAAGATCTTCTCCTTGAGAAAGGTCCGAAATTCTATGGCCAGATTTGAGTATTAATAGAATCATGCCTCCTACATTCTTCTTCATGTACTGCGAACTGTTATTTATCAGTCTTATAATATCCACATCATGATCTCATACACTTTATGGAAAACCTGTGGGAATAAGATTTCTCAAATGATATAGCCTTTAAAATAAACAGCCCACTTATTTGAAAGAGTCCAATTGTTTAACTCCTGTGTGAGAACTGTAAGGGTAGTAACTGCACAGAAGAAGGTTTAAAAGCACCCTTTATTAACTCTTTAAAATTTACAGTGCGTCAACTCGACGTAACTACGCCTCTGCTTGGGCGGTAACTGAAATCAAGGAACTAACTAAAGATTTGAAGATATGTACAAGTAGTAGAACAAACTTACAGGGCTCAGATAATTCCTGTGTCTCAACTCCCCGTCGAAAACTAGTGACAGCACGTAAATGCAGTTAAGCCACGCGAACCAGCAATAACTGTGGGAGCAGAAGCTTACGCAGCAGAGGTGAAGGCAATAGCCTAACTTTCTCTCTTTCTTTCCTAATGAACCTCGGTTTTTAAACTCTTTCTTCAAGGTAAAATTTGCATTCCTTCACACGCGCTACCAAATTTAAATATTCTGGCATTAACAATTAGGGGAATGAAGGCTTATAAGAAAGAATAACAAATTAAATAAAATTGTTTGCTTAAAATAAATATAAATCGCTACAGACTTAAAACCTCACGTTTTAGATAATTGATACAAATTTTTAGATAATTGATACCTACGCTTAAGAAATCATATCCATTTTGGGCTTATAGAATGTTTGCTGAATGTGTTATTCATAAGTCGGATAGTAATTTTATTGCGCAAAAAAAGCTAGAAGAATCAGCCAGGAATTGTGAAAGAATTGCAAAAGAATATCGGTACATGATTTATATAAACAAATTCTCAAAAATTTTCGAGGCAGAAAACGAATGCTAGTTATGCCAGAAAAAACATTTTGCCAATTCACCAAAATTTTACCAAATAACCAGTAATGATATGCATATGCAAATCAAAATTCTAACTTTAATTTGCAATAGTTTCTTAACTTTCTATTTTAATTTGGATATTCCCCCTCTCTATCCTGAAAATGGTAATTGCTTATAATAAGCCTCTCTAAACTATTAATTTCAAAATTAAGCCATGTCATATGATTTTTACATAAAACTAATGACACAGATACTTGCGTAACATTCATCCAATTAATAATTTCATGGGTGGGAATCGAAACTTTTAACAGCCAATAGTGGAAATGCGAGCTGAAAATAAGTCATTCAGAATCGGGATTTCATCTTAGACAAATCGCATTCGTTCTCCGCTTCTCTTATTGATAAAATCGCTTCCACCTCTTCTGTTCTAACTGGAAGTCTTGAAAAATGTAAAACAGTTTTCAAGAACAGCAGTTTACTGACCTACTTTACTTACTGCTACCATATATCTGTGTCACTGAAAATATTTGTCAACGAGAATAAAGTAATATTAAAACTGACCAATCTAGCAACTACTGATTTACGTTATTAACGTCTGTCTTCATCATTCCAAATTATTTTATATATATACAATCAAACTGAAGCTTATGTTTTATCGGCAAGTAAAAGGAATCTGGAAGGTGTGCGTTTTAAGAAAAATGCTTTTGAAACTTTAGCATGTGGTTGGGCTTTCAGAAAAATTGAATAATTAATTCTGCACAATAATTTTCATATACTCATATCGTAGAAGATATACTTGTTTCTTTTAGCTTAACGTAAAGTAAACGGAATTTACTTAGATGAAAATAACGAAAGATACAAATTCAGATGTCAGTTATTTATAAACTAGTAGGATGGATTTTAACAATGTAAGTACTGCTTTATCAGATCGAATTCCATTACACAAATAGCATTTGAAAGCATTCATTGTTTTAGAAAATCATGATTTAGCATCAGAACTTTAATTGGTACCCAAAAGCTTCATTAAAAAAAAAAAAAAAAAGTTTTCATATTCCGCTAGTTTAGCTAAAAATGAGGTCTAGAATAAGATCCAAATTCTCGTTTGTATTTTGAAGCAGGCTGCATTTCTAGTGTATTTTTCGTCTAACTTCTAACGAAAGTTAATATTTAAGTATGAAAAATAACCAAGGAGTGGAAGTTAAAATTAAAAAAATTTGATGTATACACCCCGTGACTTCCTTGTACGGAATATTAAATTATACGCATTTTTTCTTGCATTTCATTTAAAATTATTGGATTGAATTAAACAACTTCGTCGATAGCGCATAAACCACAACAGAATAAATGCACTCTTTAAAATTCACTACATTTGTTTACCATAGCGACACTCTGGCGCTAGGTTCACTTAAAAGCGTTATATTTTCATATTATAACTCAGAATGCACAATTAATATCATTTAAAGAATTATCTAATCGTTGTCACATGTTCTAGAATACTATAATAAATCTAGAACATGATAAAAGAAATTAAGCAAAAAAAAAACAAAAAAAAGCTTTTCAGAGACGATTCAGAGAAATTCAGAGACCCCATAGATTTCAGAAAGATTTCTCATTCATTAATTCAGTTCTCACTTCGCGATAAGGCAAAAAAAACAAAAACCAAAATATCTATATTAAAATTCGAAGTAAATCTTAAACTCTTATTTCCCCTCGAAAAAATTCCAGAAAGGATTCAGCGTGATTTACTTCATAATAAATGGGGCGTTATCTTGTTGTTGCGAAGCTTAGTCTCTAGATTGGCAACAAATCTACTATTCTGCTGTTTCAAATGTAAATAAATATGTCCGCCTCTTATTTAAAAATTAGGCTTAACCGCACTTAAAGAGCTTTTAAATTGTTGAATAAGTGTACAAATATTGCTTGCAGATTTACTAACCGGACTTTAACCGGAAGATAAGAACAACATAATTCAATCATTTTTAAAGCAAACAATGCACAATTTACAAACATATAAAAGTAAAGAAACTGAGATCACTGAGCCGGGTAACAGAGTGGATATAGTATATATAAATATATTTCGATTGCTACCAAAGTAGGAGGTGCACGTCTACATGTTATAGCAATCCTACATACAAAATTTTCAACGTTCTAAGGCTACTCGTTTTTGATTTATGCGATTATGTACAGACGCCACGAAAAATTCTTTTCAGAATTCATTTTAAAGCAGTTTTATAATTTTTTTGGAGGAAAAGAGTCTTTTGTTTTGTCCTTAAGTACAGATGTCATGCAAAAACATAGTTAAATTGCATTCGATAGCGGTCAAAATGGATATTTTCGTTGAACTATGTTGCCTGAAACTTTTCGCGATTACAATACTTCCTTTTTACTTCGTACAAGGAAGTAAAAATAATAGGAAAAATCTGAAATTTGGTATTTGGGAAACTAAAAAATTCCCCTAAGTTTCCCGGAACTCAGCGTAGAAATTCGTCCCGCTGGGGGAAAAAAAACTATTTTACTCACATGTCAATGTAATGCACTGATGTTTAAAATATTTTTCACGGTTGGTTTGGTATACTGAGATTATGGCAAAGCACACTAGGACTATCTGCCTAAGGAGACTGACTTCGTGGAGGACACTCTGAAGTAAACTAGCCTCGTATGCATGTTAGACATGCAGAAACCACGAAAACGTCAATGCAGCCAGCCTGTTCGCCTGGAATTGAACCCAGGTCGGAACTACCATTATTCTGCGACTTTACCTCTCGGCAGCTGGTTGGCCTTTCACTTTTGGCCTATATTTAGTCCAGAGCTGTTGGACAGATTATAATAAAATTTGATATGCACATAGGGCTGATATGATTGAAAATGTATACCTTACAGCAGTCTCAGAGTACATGCATAATGTGTAAGGTCCATCAGCTCAGGGAAACAGAGCTTTCATAACATAAAGCCATATTGGAAACGAGACAGTTTATGAGTTCTAGAGGCAAATGCTCCTACTCCTGCAGCAACGCTGATTTCAAATCCTGAAAAATTCTGGGAAGGCGAATTTCAATTACCCTCCCAAGAGCCTCCTAGACATGTTCTACAGGGTTAATGTCTAGAGATCTAGCTGATCAATCCACCCAATTAATATCCTCACTTTCCAGAAAGTCATAAAACAAACTTGTTGCATACAAGACGTTGACTTCCGTAAAAATGAATTGACGGCTAACTGCACTACCGAAAAGGTAAACATAGGACTGTAAGGTCTCTTTCCTATATCTCACTACAGTCACAAAGCCGTTGTCAAAGGCATGTGGGTCATTACGCCCATCGTCTAGTAAGACGTTTGCCCAGACCATTGAACCTCATCTGCCATAGTGATTTCTTTCTCGAATGTCAGAGGACAGATAGCTAATCTCGTTTTCTATCCAGGTAAACGTAGGCCGAGAATCATTAATTAGGCTGAATAGGGTCTCAGACGGGCCTCTACTGATGTTAGGCCCCAAGTCGATGTGCGCTACAGCGTAATAAACGTGCTCTCTTGTGTGCAAATCTAGTTTTCTTGCAAACAGAACTCTTTGGAGCCTTCTAGAATTAATAAATATTGAAACTCATCTTCCTGTGGCCACATGGAGGTCTCGGGAAAAGCGCAAAATGTTGCTGCATTCCTGTGCTGCCTTGCTGAAATGGACAAATAACAAATTTTATTAACTATCGTGGCACAGACAAGTATTCTTTTCGGATTTTGTTTCATTCTTTACGGATCTGTTGCCTTTAAACTGTTTCCATAAGTTGCACATGATGCTTGGTGGTGCATTTAAATTTTTGGCAATCTGTACTTGAGACTGCCCTTCTTTCAGCCTTATGACAATTCTTCGCCTCATTCTAGCATTCAAACACATTACCCATTTTAACTTTCTGCTTTAAAATTTCATCAAATGTTGCAAAGAAACAAGAAATTTGTTAAGGAATGCGAGAGAATGTAGGCTTGAATATTTGACAGTAAAGATTAGTAATTTTCGTTTGAATGTAGAATTTTTGCTTGTTATTCAGTATGCTCCGAAAAAATTACCAAAATATGCAAATTCTGTTAAATTTAAATACCAGTGTATATTAGAATTTAATGTTTTCAATACAAATATAAAACTATAAACTTGGCAATTAAAAAAGCAAATAGGTATTATAACTTCTGAGAATTCTTTCAGAAAGTTAGCTGAATCATCGCATTTATATTTAAGAGTTTTCTTAATTTTGTATGTTGTTCTTACACCCGTTTATAGATGTAGGCAAATTTTGTTATCTGTGGAAAGAGAATTATAATTTAAGAAGAATCTGAAAAAAATTGAAACCCAACTTAGGTCGATAAAATGTACGATCTAAAGTTTTCAACCATCAGTACTAAATCAGAGTTCATATTCAGGTATTTATAATAAAACTTAGATAAAACTTTCCATAATGTAGACTTTGTTTAGACTATAAAGCGAGTCTATATATACTATAAAGTGTTTCTTCTTTATTGACTTTATTTTTTTTATACGGAAAGAGCTCCAATATAATTTCTGATCAACTATCTAGCCGTTAAATTATTTCATAAATTTTAATATTCTTCCTGCATTCTCTTTCTATCAATTTCTAAAATGCTGAACAAAGGAAAACTTAGATTAACCAATTGGGCGCAACGCAGCTTAATGGCATTTATGAGAAAAGTTGGTAATATCTGAATCAGAGTCTCAATTTTGAAACATGTAACAAAACACGATATATCATTTTTTGAAATGAAATACCATTTAAGTATTTAATTCTTTTCTTGTAGGATTATCAACAATATCAACGGTTGAATATTATGACTGTCAGACGAATAATTGGGAGAATGCCCCAGACCTGAACTTAAATAGAAGTGCCTTAGCTGCCTGTTCTGTTTCTGGAATTTCTACAGCAAGCGAATATTCTTTCCATGGTATGAAGTTTCAAGCGGATATTCTTTTTATGGCTTAATTGAATACTATGTCAAATATTTATCTTGAATTCAATGTAATTTACGAAATACATTAACTATTTTGGGAGTCATTTTCTACAATAACTTTCCCGTGCTTATATCTCCTACCTACACTAGCAAGTTCAACCCCTTATGTACCTTTCTTATTCTCTTTCGTCTCCACAAGCCATTTTAACAAAGCAAGCTATTGGTGGTTTTCCTAGTTTCATTTTGCTGATATCTTTCAAAATCAACCCTAGGTACATTCTTTTTTAATTTAAATATTCTATCACTTCCTAAACACCCGATTTTTCTCTGATCAAGCACGTTTAAAAGATTATAAAATATTGCTTGAACTTCACCTGGCTGAACTTCAATGCTCTTTGGATGATCTTGTGCTTTCCATGCAGATCACGCTCTCAGGAGCTTCCTCTTAGTGCATAGGTGTGGCAAGGCCGGATTCTTCAGTTCCTCAAGAGATCTGCTTCATAAGCAGAGGTATCATGGTTCCCGGTACCTAGAGATTTTCTTCTTTTCCTTTTTCTCTCTTCTTAGCCATTACTATTCCCTTTCCTCCTCATCTAGTGATTTAGAAAATGCAGCTCATCGTGTGGTGCTGTTACAAATCTTATGAGTCTCACTTACTAAGGCAACAACAAAACTGTCTACGCATTTCCCGTTGATGAAGACACTCTCCTCAGAAAGCTACTTTAGTCTCAGCGTCAGTTCGATAGTCGCTTAGCTATATCCTCTAGCGTCTTCTGGTCACTCGTCTTTAATGTTAGTGATTCGGATATAAACAACTGTGTGTTCCTGCTTTCAAAAAGGCCGACTGTGGGGCTTTAATAAACTCGGTAAGCCGTCTCTCAGGGGTCTGCGTATTCACCTTGCGCCCCATAGTCTATGAGGCCGTAGGGTCCGAATCCATTTACCATTTCACTATGGATTATAAAACTAACTTTGAAAGTAATCATACAAAGAAACCAATAACAAAACCAGAAGAATGTATATCAGATCAATCTCCTAGTTTTCTTGTCATCAAAAATCCATTACGTAATTTGCAAAAATTATCGCTATTTATTATTCAAAAGTACTTACAGGCTTATGACTAAGCATGTGAAAAAACTTTTCGTATGACCAGCTTGAAGAATCTTCAAATACTAAACAGTATTCGCTTCTTCTTAAAATGATTAACATGGGACAGGATACCGTTAACGTTTCTAGACATAAAACAATTAATTTATCAAGAAATATAATTTTTGAACCTGATTTCCTCTATATTATAGAAGATGAAATACACAACGAAATGTCAGATCAAAATTTATGAGCTATCTGGCGAATGAAAATACGAAAGGCAGTTCTATGGATTAGCACAAAACACGTGATTCTGATTTTTAGCTGTTTCCAATCTGCCAAATAACATAAAGACTTAAATTGTCCCTTAAGAGTATGCATTCCAAGCAGGTCGTGGCACTCCCAATACCAGTGTGGGCCATACTAAAATGTCCTACCGTGGGATTCACATTTGTTCTTATTTCTCTGTGGCTGTCTACAGCACAGAAAATTGAGCTACTGAGACACTGTACGAAAATTACAAGGAAATCGTACACTTGTGTTTCGAGATCATGACGAAATGGAAAAAAGAGAAAATAGTCTAAAAGTTAAAGTCATCCAAAAGTTACCTCATACGGAAACAAACAAAAAAAAAAAAAAATAGTAAATAATACCCAACCATGCTGTCAGTATTACAAAACCTTAAACTAGCCAAAAAGCAACACAAAACTTTAAAACTGTTCAGGACAATTAGATAGCGGCCAAAACAGTAAACAAATAAAGAAAAAAAAATCTGAAAGGTTTCAGATTTTAAATTACGTCCAAAGGATCGTTCTTTTAACCTTTATTTATTAAATATCATGTTCTTCGCACTTAAACCACAAAATTCAATTCAAGAGATCGCAAAATAATTTTAAAATGAGCATATCTTTAGAATTTCAGATACACAGCTCCCCGCGCTGGAGATAAAAAGGTTTTTTTTTTTCTCATAGTGTTGCCGTTACTCGCTTTTAAATCGTTGATTTTGTTAGTCAAAAATTCGTTAAAGTTTTACAAATTATGAAGTCGATTATATTACAAATTCCAAATTTGGGCTTTCAGATGCTCATATTAGCAGTAGGATGACGTCATTCAAAATTGGATGGCTCTATGTACCATTGTTCTATCACAATGCGAGAAGCATAGATACAATTGTGCAGATTCTTAATTATTTAATTTCTTCAAATATAATGCAGGACTCTAACATTTGGTGGCAACAATTTGAAAAGTGATACTCTAATCAACAATTTGATAGTGATTCGACGCAAAACCGCAAAACGAAAAAAATAGTCCTTCAGGGACGACTAAGTTCCCTTTGGACTAATAATAAAAATAAAAATAAATAAAATCTGAAAGCTTCCAGAATATATATTATGCCCAAACGGGCGTTTTTTTTTATTTGCATACACATACACGTTTCAAGAGCATTTGGGTTAACGCCATATTGGGCTAAAATATTTAAAAATCGCTTATCTATGGAATTTACCATAGACAGTCTCGCGCGCTGGAGATAAAACTGCGTTATTGCTTACAGTGTTGCCACTGATCGCCTGGAAATGCTTGAGTTTTTTAATCAAACATTAGTTAATATTTTACAAAATACGAAATAGACAGTAAAATAAATTCTAGATTTTGGCTTTCAGGTGACCATGTTCGTCTGGAAGACTTATCATTCAAAATTTGATGACTCTACGAACCGTTATTTTTTCACAGTGCGAGAAACTACATTCATGTAAATTCTTTTGAAAAGTGATTCGGGCATTTAATGTGATTCGACGCAACCTTATCTCTTCCACCTTATAACCAATATTCTGGTAAAGACTTTATGTTCCACATTTGTTTCAATGTATGAATATCCGTAAAATGCTCTTCATTTGACAGCATGTCTCTAAGTCATTTCTATAGAAATTCATTTTCGAATTTTGCTTTCATTATGTTAATTTGCCTCCAAATAGCTACATCAACTCTCAAGTAATTTATGTAATAAAACCGAACTACAAAATATAGAGCTTACATACAAGAATATGTAAAGTAGGTTTTTCTTCCTTTGTCCTTTTCTGACATGGGATACAGCCATCAGCCATGTTCTTACACCACTTTTAAATATTGTTGGCAGCATGGTATGTAAGGAATTTCAATAGTGTTTTATTTGGACAATTTTATGATGCAATTTACACTTGTGCCTGTTGTGTATTTTTAATTTATCTAGCGTTAAAATTATTTAAACCAAAATGATCAGGGACATTTTCTTGGATAAAAAGAATTCAGAATTCGAAAGGAAGAATTTGATTCGAAGAGAAATGACGTTGGAAGCATGAAATCAAAATAAATCGTCTTAAAACAGAATTAGATATTTTTTAATCATGTTAAATCAAAATTGCATGAAGTGCAAGGACAAACCAATATAGGGAATATTTACTATACCATTGGCTATTTCAACACCAAATTGCAGAAAGGCAGGCATGGCACAGAAAAAGACACATACTGAATGCACGAACTTTAGCTAGCACACTTTTTAAATAAACAGAAATACAAGTCAATAAAGGTATTCAAAGAAATTAACTGGATAAGAAAATTGCAAAGCTTACGAATCCAAAATATTATTTTACTGAAGCGACTCTTCTTTACAAGTCTATAATGGTTCCAGTGCTATCGTCAGCGATTCGATATTGCAGTTTCATGCATCAAGATATTTTGAATACATGAAAAATATTTACGAATTTAATCCAGGCATGAAAATACCAAAACACTACCAATAGTCTAACTTCCCTTCATGTGACAAGAATTATTGCAACATAAAAATGTATTTCAAAAGCCGCAATTATGCGAGATTTAACGACGCAATTTTTCTATTTGATCATTTTTTATTGCAAATAAATTATTTGCAGTATTCCATATACAAACATTATGCAGCGATAATTAGGTAGTGTACTTTTTTTTTACAGGTAACGTCCCACAACCGTAAATCTTCTGGATCAACTGAAAGAAACATTCCGTATTTGTCCATTCCTCCAATCTCCTCTGTGTCTACGAAAGAAGTAACAATAATTGCTATTGTAGAATTAAAATGAAATAATATAATAATTTTACATGCTTACTGCTTCTTTGAGTTCATAATTTAATAAAATAACTTTTATACAAAATCCTTTTATTTTTACACTTTATTTTTATAAAGATCAAACAAATGGCATAACTTCAGTCTTTAAAACAAGAAAGCAGAAATTCTTTTGTTCAACTTTTTAATAAAATTACATATTTACTATTTTATAAACTGAAATTAAAAAAAAATATTTCTTTTCTGCATCTCCCAAGTTTTTTTCTTTTATTTTATTGCCTAACATTCCTAAGCATTTACTCAGCAAAAAGAAAAACAGTTTTCTTTCGTGCACTGGCACGGCACTTGCTGGAAAACATTCGTTAAGAATGACTGAACCTATTGCTTATTTTGCCAACTCATCATTAAGAACATTGCTCAAGGGACATAGCTATTGTAAACGGTATTGTATCCGCGAAATGAAAGTGAAGTATACACGTGTTCATTTAAGTATTAAGCTGTACTAAACCCACACCCATGATTTCGGGTTAGCAGTTAGTCAGCATTAACCACTTATATCATCCAAAGCAGTTTAGACAGGATAGTGTTGAAATTTATAATAATATAGGCTATGTTTATTTGGAAATATCAAAGAAATACTATTTTAATGGAATAGGAGAAGTTTCAAAAAGGCCAGTATATAGATCAATTGTATCCTCAGATATTTATTAGTAGGGAAAATTTTGAACTGAAGTCCACTTGCATAAAATGTTATCTGATGTAATATGTGGAATATAGCAGAGAATTCAGCATTTCCTTTTTCCTGAATATCGAAAGAAATCCCTTTCTTCTTTATTATCTAGTATTGTTGGCAAGCATACACTGCTACTATACCTACGGGAAAGTTTGGGTAGCAACTTGCCGCTTCAACTAGATGAACGCCACAGGGAAAGGGTGTAAAAGAACCCTTTTATTGAACTCAATTATTTACACACGGCATGGACTTACGTGCTTATAATTTCTCCAGCCACTTGCGAGTAACTTTAAGATAAAGGAAACAAACTAAATTAAAATGTAACCTAGTAGCTCAAGACTTTCTTTCTTTTTGCCATCGACGGAACAGCTGACTGGGTTAGGTGCTTTTCAGCCTGTTGGGGAGAAGCTTAGTATTGTATCTTCCTGGAAATGATTACATTTAGAGCTTATTGCTGTGTCCTCCTGGAATTGGCCACGCTAAACGAGAAACATTGAAGGAAGGACCATAACGTGGAAAGACGGTGCATGGAAGGAGGACTAACGGGAATATCTTTTACTGTTATGGTACATGTTTGGCAAACAAATATATTAAGGATATGGTATAGACTCAGATACAGATATAAAGATGGCATCTGAGCAAATACCTTGCAAATTATGAAATATATTAAATGAGTTCTGTATTAATCAAAATACTAAACACAATTAAAAACAAAATAAAACAAATACACCCCCCTAAATAATACAAGATATTAAGTAAATTAATGTAATGAGCGGGCTGCTGACGGCACGTTGTCCAAGGAAAGAAGTCACTCTAGGCTGTCAGCAATGCTTTTAGCAATGATAGTGCAGTCTCTAATGCGGCTGAGTGCATATTTATTCTTAAGTGTTTTTGAACCATACCGGCATATTGATTGCAGCTGGTTTTTTTAAATGTGAATTCGCTGTGCGCGGGTAATCACACAGATAGTGATCTGGGTTACTATTACTGCCACAAATACATAGGTCGCTGTTCTCTCGAAGGATCAATCGCAATCTAGAACGTAAAACATTTAAGTGATTTAAAGCGGTATGTAGGCGTAATATATATCATCTGGAAAAAAAACCAGTGCGCAGTCTCAAATCGTCCTTTGTGTGAGTCATTAAGTCAATTAGTAAACAACTATAACGCTTAAGAGTGGCATCGCAATACACTTCTTGAAAACATTTGGCGCGGCCTGTATATAGCTGACACCCCAAATGAGAGATATGGCTAACACCTCTCGGATTTTTAAATAAAACAATGTAATGTGCATTTAAAGGCATTTCAAACATTTCCTTACCCTTATGAAATAAATTTTGCACGATAAAAATTACAGAAATATTTTTATAGTGGCTGTCTTTCGTAAACAGACGTGTTAATTTGGGATTACTTCCAAATTCGCTCATTAAATCGTCAATAATAACTACAGAATTAGAAATATCTTGGATATTCGAAAGAAGTCCTTCCACAAATGTAACTCCTCGTATTTCGTCATACAATTCTTGATATACACCATAACAAAAAATAATTTGTGCAGGTAAAGGATAGATAATACGATGGTTAATAATTTTCTTCACAAAATAGGTTTTCCCGCCTCCTATGGGACCCGGAACGACACAGGTAAATAGATGTCTCAATGACGGAATCTCCATCTTAAAGAAGTTCATGACATAGAAACATAAATGTTATATCTAATAGCTGTTTATTTTAAAAAAGTTAATAAATCCTTCATTAACTCATAATAACTACGGCGGAACCAATGAAATTCTAAAGAAAATATCTAAATACATGCCTTTTTTTTCTGTGATGGAGCAACTACCCTACCCATATCCGCCTCCCGATGAGGCTCCCCGCCCCCGTTTTCAGATAAGCCTTCCTCCCACGCCTGACCATTCCTTCTCGGGAGCTCCCTCCCAGCTCCTGCTCCTGACCCAGAACTCTCATTTTCTCCTACTGAAGTGGAAAGATTTTGTGAGTTGATGCTGGGTGCTACTTTTAACACATTGGAGGCACTGGCTTAGTTTCTTTTCTGTTTTGCATTATTGTAATGCGATTTATGGTAAAGCCTTGGTTATTTACACTCATGTCCATAAATTAAGGATAAATCGGAGCCACGCGGAAATCAAACTCTAAAATAAATATATAACCTGTATAATCACTACAGACATCTCCAAGAATCATATGCAAATTTCAGGAAGTAACCAGATCACACCGATGTTACGTCACAATGACGAGAGTGTAAGAGAGTGATATATAAGAAATACAGGCAAAAAGGTAAAATTGTTCGCAGGCGCTTCATAAGCATTTCAGTGTAATAACCGAATAGTTATGACACAAAGGACGCATTTGAATGATTTTTTACGTGGTAGAATTATCGGCCGTCTGGAATGTGGGCGTACCCAACTGGAAGTATCAGACGAACTTGGAATTGCCCAGAGTGTCATCTCCAGGCTTTGGCAACGATTCCAAGATGATGGTAATGTGAATAGACGTTACAGCACAGGTCGCCCCAGAGTTACAACGCCGAATGAGGACCGGTATTTGGCAGTTACTGCCAAAAGAAACAGGCGGAGCACAGCCTCAGACCTGTCTCGTCAGCTCTCTTCAGCCACTGGTACGACAATTTCAAGGCAGACCGTGTACAGACGCTTAGGGCAGATTGGTCTATATGCTTGTAGACCTGTCAGATGCGTTCCACTTACTGCAACTCACTGTCGCCTGCGGTTAGCCTGGAGTAGAGAGCATGCATTGTGGACACCGCAACAGTGGGCTTGTGTCATGTTTTCCGACGAGTCCAGGTTTTGCTTGCAGTCTGATTCTCGCCGTACTTTCATATGGAGAGCTCCAGGTACCCGTTACCACCAAGAAAACATCATTGAACGACCACGTTACGGTGGTGCAGGAGTGCTCGTTTGGGGTGGAATTATTCTGGGTTCCAGAACTGACGTTTGTTTCGGGGCGCCACGGGCGCACAATTTGTGTTTATGGATGACAACGCCCGTGCTCACCGTGCAAACATCGTAAGCGAATGTCTTCAATCGGAGGATATCATCCGTATGGACGGGTCAGCATCCTCACCGGACTTGAATCCAGTAGAGCACGTGGGGTATATGCTTGCCGACAAGTTGCAGCCGTTAACCTCCTCCTACATGTCTACCAGGCTTCGGAAAGCATTGCTTTTTGAGTGGTGTAATATCCCCCCAAGATCAGATCGATAATTTGATACTCAGCATGCCTAGGCGTTGTAGGGACTGTATTGCATCGTCTGGGAGACATACAATGTATTAACAACCATACGAACCATGTAATATTGGTTTTTTGAAAATAGTTTTTTTTTTTGGTAATTTGCTCAAGGGAGAAAAAATCGCTAATTTTTTTAATAATATCAAACATATAGCATCTTTTTTTGTTCTTTACCTTTTGTTTAATAAATAAGCTTTACAAATAAGTCAAATTTGTTTTGCTTTTAACTCTTCCTTTGCCTGATTTTGCATTATCCTTAATTTAGGGACATGAGTGTAATTCTTGAACAATATAGTTGGTGTTCATGGTTGCGAGTAAGACTCTAATTACATCTTTAATCATCTTTCCTTTCGGCAGTAAGAACGTTTTAAGATGAGTTTCTTCGATTACTTTGCATACAAAGCGGTGTGAGTCCACATCAGGGGCTCATCTTGTAGTTTGTCTCCTTTGCGAGTACCCATTATCTTTTCCCCTGTTTGGGTACTTAAATTTTCGAGGGATTAGTCGGCTTAACAGGTGACAGGTGACGGAGGACGGGGACGCCTGGTGTTTAACGGAGGTAAACAGGCATATGTCCCACGCCCTCCCCTATATAGATACAAGAACTCCCTGGGGTCCCACAAGGGCGCACCGGGAGTTACTGAGCCTTCATGAAAAAGTTTACATGGCCGTACAAGGGCTATTCCAGTTTGACATTGGTTCTGTACAGATTCTTATGTTAATGGTTGACCTGGGTGTTCATAGGCCATAATGCATACATGAAACATAACATTACATACATGATATTGACATGACATTAAACTTATACATAATACTTGCGCATGAATTAGTACATACATACTTACACTTCACATGACATTAGACTACACATACATAATGCATGACATTAATCTACACTTATTAGAGTTATAACCTGACTGACTGTATACTACGTTAAGCTAATGGTATTGCGAACTTGCTAAGTTACTTTATAACTGGATTACTTATAGTTTACATTATTGCTATTACTTCTTAAATGACATTATG